GCATGGTGATGAAAAATAAAAATGGGTACTTGATTGAAAACATAGAAGTCCATTTCTCGAAATGATGAGAAGTCTGGCACCAAAACTCATTACAAACCATTTTCAAATTTGGCAACACACACAGTCAGGAAGTTTGTGCAAAATAACCCCATGCCACACACATACCTGTTCAATTTCTTTACATCTCCTGCTCAGAGCCAGATATTTCCTCTTATCAAGAGCTCTTGTCTCTTCATCCTCTTGTACTGTGCTCTCAAGCAGTTCGCTGCCTCCCGGGCCGAGCTCCACCTGATGAGAAAAAACCCCCCACTCAAGTTGTTTGTGTGTTGTGGTCATAACTCTGTATCAGCGTTGTTGTCTGTTTTGTGATGGAAGAAGTTCAGTTCAGTTGTTAAATCTATCATGGTACAGTTGTGTTGCTTTATGTCACAGCAGTAATATTAGTGCTCTGAAAATGTATGACAGCTCTGGATAAGACATGATAATGTTGTTGTTAAGTAGCTAATAAGATCGGATGCAGCGTCAAGTGCGCACATCCATGTCGAAATTAACCATCAGCCCCAGCGGATCTGTGCTTCAATGACTAAGCTACATACATGTGAGCACACTTCCAAACAAGACCCTCTGAATTCAATTATTCGGACACATGTCTTCTTGAACTCTGATAGAAACAACTGACACAAGTGCAACATGAGACCAAAGATGATGGATCGAGGGTGTGAATGGAGCCACTTTGTTTAAAGACAGGGATTATTAAATCAATTCAAATACAATATTTGATTATTCCAAGCAAAACTGTGTTGTTAACACTGGTTATAATAGTGACTTAATACAGGGGGTAAAAAGATCATTGTGACTTAGCACAGGTAGCACTGGTTGGTCGGACCACTTACTCACACATCATCACATCACTATGGCCATTACAACAATCAATAACATTACCTCTCCAGGTCCCAGCTCCACACCGCCTGGCTCTAGCTCTGCCTCCAGGATGTGTCCTCCAAACAGAGGAGGCAGAGCCAAACCAGAGAAATCCTCCATCATCTGAACAAGAAGCAAGAGGGGATCATAGTTTTGTTTTCATACATTTCTAAACAGCAATTTGGTTTCAAGCAGCATTAGCAGGTGCAGGTTCACAGGCAGGAAAGGGTTTATATACGGTGGCTGAGAGGGCTCAAATTAAGAAAACAAGAACTAGAAAACAAGAAAACAACTTCATCAATTTGATGACACATGCACTGCAAAAACTCAACACATGCAAATACTTCAATGCTTTGTGATGTTATTGAAGTCTGCAACTCGTCAGTGGTGATGGAATTTCACAAAGCATTGAACTACAGCCAGGTTCATCACTTTTTTGGGTCCCCTGGAAACATTTCCGTTGTCGTTTTCTAAATTTGCAGTGCGTTTCTGTATTTGCATGTCTTGTCTTAATTTGCAGTAGGTTGAGCTCTCTCGGCCACCGTAGTAATAACTGTGGCGCAGTTATGACGTGAGGAGAAAAATTATAGATGTCCGTGTCCGTTTATATTTAATCACAAACA